TACTTGCGTTGGATTGTATGTTTACTCCAGCCACTCGGAAGGTTATCATCAGGAACAACAGTGGTCTTCCTGGGCCCTGAAAAATAAATTACATATCACATATTCTGTCATATACTGGGTTAGAAAACCCTTAAAATAAATTTTTCTTCAGATTTCTTGTTTCATATGCATACTGAAGATTATACATGAGCCGGGATAGCTCAGTCAGTATAGTGATGGCTACAGGCTAGACGACCGGGGTTCCATCCCTAACAGACCAGTTCTGGGGCCCACCCAACCTGCTGTCCAATGGGTACCAGGGTCCTTTCCCAGGGGTAAAGTGTGGCCAAGGTGTAATGCTGACCACTCACCCCCATCCAGTGCCGAGGTCAAGAATGAGTAGGAGCTATACCTCCTCTTCCCCCAAGCACCTACATGGAGTATACTGAAGATAATACAACAGGATTCAACAAACTCACTCAGGCATGTCTGATTCTACCTACATTTTTGTTTATATTGTGACCAACCAAAAGTAAGATACAGCTTCTAAAAATACATAATCCAAGTATCCATATAGAAAAAGAACACCAAACAAAAATTAGAGTTTATCTGAAATGTCTGAAAATTAGATTAAGTTTTAAGCTTAAAACTGGTCTCAAATTCACCCTCAAAAAACTGCTCCAACTGCAAAATAAGTGTCAACTCACCATCAGGACTTTCAACAATGTAACTATCCTGTCCGTCATGTTCCCATTTCACCATTTCTTCTTTCTCATTCTCTCTACGATTAGACGTACTACTAGACTTGGATGAATCAACAGAAGAATCCTTCCTCCTTCTGCGTGGGACATCATCATCCTCTGTGTTCCCTGCCGAAACTGAAAAAAAACCTTTAATATCAACAACTAGCAATTCTTCATAAAACAAATGGAATAAAAATTATGCAGACTTTCATGACCCAGTTACAATATTTCTTTAAGGAAAGTGCAGGTAAAAGGTAATGATTTGGTGGAAAAATGCATAATTGTTGTGATTCCTAGGACTATTCACAAGGTTTATATGGATGACTACCTCATGACAATGACACATATACACTGAAAATCTGAGTGATGGTAAACTTCAAGAATGGCACATTAATAAATCACAATAATTTATTTAAATATTAACCACCACTATATTCATCATGATAAAATTCAGTGTGTCAGACTGATCTCTAGAATTAAAGATCCACTTCACTTCAAACTTGTGGTGGTGACCAGTAATACTATTATTTAATGTTAATAACAGTCAACCAATCGTAATATATATATGTTGATATAATAAAATAATATTGCCAGATTCTATTACAAAATGCTCTGCAAATTACGTCCTAAAACTTATATGTAGTCCATTAACTCAATAGCTAAACTAACTGTAAGTTATACAAGGCTACAGAAAAAAGCTGTACCCAAAGACGCAAATGATACAAAAGGAAAGGATCCACTGATGAAACTACACTAATATGGACAGCCAAAATATATATCTAAACTTAACACAGTAATATTTAATTATGGCATATTGTTCTAATTCTAATCCAAAGCTTTTGAAATACAGCAGTATTATGCATCATGACTGGCATGTAATGGCAATCAGTCACATTCACATAAGACTGAAACAAACAAAATCTCAATGGTAATGATAATATTGGTCATGGCCAGCAGAGCTTATCATACTGGGATACTGGGAATGACCCATTCTTCAAGTGCCTGAGCACTGCGGGTCCCAACTTTTCGTTGGCTTGATCTATAGACATTTTGAGGGATCGGCCCGTCGCAAGGCCTCTACCTGTACACAGGACAGCACAACACAGAAAAACGCGGACAAACATCCATCGCTTGAGTGGGATTCGAACCCACGGTCCCAGCGACCAAGCAGCACAAGGCCCACGCCTCAGACCGCGCGGCCACTGTGGACCCCGAGCTTATCATAAGTTCAAAAATATTCCAGTATGAATGAAAGATGAAATTCAACCCTGAAAACGTATTTTAATAAACTTTGCATTAATGTTACGTGATGACTTATAAACTGCAGAAATTATTAACACACTGTAACATAATACAGTACAAAATTTTAACTTTTATTGTGACCAAACTAATAGTAACAGCACAATGTAGTTTGTTACAGAATAGTAGATAGTACTCCCAAGGTTTAACATCAATGAAACCCTATGTGTAACACTCCAGTTGCCCATTAAAATGGTGTTATTCACAGATGTGTAAAAAGCAAGTCATGAGTTGCAAATTGAAGAAAATGTTGATTTCATAAAAATTGTGGTAAATAAGCGCACCAACAAGAAAATCTATTTACAAGTGACATACTTACACCATTTTTTATCAATTTCCAAAAAAGTGTAAATATGAGGTTCCAGTGCAGTTTGGTCACAATTGTCCAACATTGTATTATATTACAGCTTGTATTACCTCCTATAAAACTACTTAAAAAAGAAACGCAATCTTATGATATGAAATTATGTGACAAAGGAAATGTGACTTGCTAGAACAGACGGTAACTGTGTCAAGCTTACTGTTAAATAAAATACAATTACTATAATGGTGCATCACTTACATCATGCCCACAGTATGATTCTAATTAAAAATGTAATTACAGGAATCAAAAAACAAAACTACAGATCTGGAAACCATCCCATGCTATGACAACAGAAAGTTAAAAAACTGAAAAAAAAAGACTGCCAATATGAAACCTTCATTAACCATTTCCTTAACCCATATAAATGCATTTTCCAGGCAGGTTGGCAAACAAGTGTAATAAGATTGGACATATTTTACTGGATAAATTAGGTTTAAAACTCCAGCTCCTACCCTTGCTGGAGTCCCGTCTTGACTTGGAAGGTGTGGAAAGAGATTCTTGACCCCCAGGGGAAATCTTCCGTGGAATTTTCCTCGTGTAGGATTTCACTTCAACAGATTTAGCTTTCTCCCGAGTCTCTCCCTGTCGAAAGCCACCACTCCGGGGCTTGTCTGCTTTCTCACCTGCACCTAAGGTTACCACATTGTAAGATTAAATCAAGTGCTCCTTTCATGTATATCAAAATTGTCCATGGAGACAAACCACACCATACACAGCCTACCTCCTCTGGATCTTGCCCCAGTCTTCTTCTTTGACCTGCTTACAGTATCCTCATCAACCTTTCTTTCCTCCACCGTCTCATCTATTTCTGAACCCAGAACTGACCCTTGTGGAGTCACATTTGTGTCTGTGTTGACATAACTCTTCTCACCTTCATTATTATCACCCTCATTTGCAATGTTGTAACTATCTTTATGCTTGTTCCGCTTCTCTGCCTTCCTTCTCTCAATTTCTAGCAAAGATTTTGAAGATGACTCAGAATCAAGTCTCAGGCGTTTCTTTGGATGAAACAATTCAACAACATTTATTTTCCTTTTGCGTTCTCGCCTTTCCTGTTTTGTACCTATGGCTTCAGAAGTGACCTCATTCTTTGTAACAGGTTTAACTATTGCTGGTGGGGGCATTTTCTCTGATGTATCAGGATTTACCTGAAATGAGGAAATTCAAATACATGTCAAAATGTATACGCTCATATCGGAGTATGTTTTCACATTTCAGACATGGTGTACATGTAGAAGCCTAAAAGTAATGCAAAACTATATACCATTTCCAAAGATGTCACTAAATGTAGAACCAAAATACTGTGTGCTCAAGGTTAATATAATTTACTACTTCTTGTAAAGTTTAAAAATCGTACCACAAAGAGTAGTATTATAGTTAGTGACAAATAATGCCAATGTAATAATGTATACACAAAAGAAATAATACTAGAGTATCAGTAAATTTTTTGTGGGCAAAAGAGAAGACCAACCAATAACCATAGATAACAGGTTAATCTATAGTAACAAAACCATTGCTACTGATACTGTCAGTCAACAGGCAGCTTGTGTTATGCACAAAGCAAGTAATAAAGGTGTTCCAATCAACAAGTCACAATAACCGTCAATAGATATGTCACGCTGATGGAAGTGCTGCAGGTTGGAGCTCAATGAAAAGAATTATTTATCACTTTCAGTATTCCAAAATTTTTAGGTGGATGCCTCATCAGTTAACACCATTCATACATAGAATACTATGTGACTGCATGGTCTGAACACTATACTATAAATGTTTCCAATTTAGGCCCCTGGCTCTTTTTAAGTCTTTTTTTTTTCTCTCATACCTAAATAATTTGCATAATTACCTTTATTACACTTTCATTTCAACGTAATTTGTAATACGTCAAATATTTTACTTACAACTGTAATCATTCACAAAATATTAGACTACAGACTACTACTAAGAATACGTGTCAGCAGGTATGTTATTAATTACTGCCTGTAATATATTAATACACTAAAAATTAAACTGTATCAACAAATATTATACCATGTGCTATATTTCATTAATTTAAATAAAATTCAAAAAATAAATTAATTGTTAATTAATTATGTTTTGCACATTTACAAAAATTCAGTTCTAAATAAAAAAGATAAAGAAGGACACTACATCACTATGTTGTAATAACACTTGTTTGTATAATAATATACAGAAAATACAACACAGACTGTGACATTCTGAAGGTTTCTGAAAATTAAAAAGAATGGACATCATCGTGTATTAATTGCTGAATTTATAAAACAAGGCACACATTTCATTACAAAGACTAGAAAAGAACTTAAATAATAAAAGGAATTAAAACAGGGGACAAAATTCAATCTTACCTCCTCAACCTTATCTGCTTCACCTACCAGTTTTGACATTCGCATACCCTTCACATTTTTGGTAAAACCATCAAAGAACAATACTTCATACCTGTCTGCAAAAATAGAAAATAGCGTTATTGGAAACAAGTGACATTCAATATCATTTATTGTTTATAAATTCCTGGTAAAAACACAATGGAACTTGCTTTATTAATTAATGCCCATGTTAAGCTAAGTACAAAACTCAACAAAATATTAAATAAATCTATTATAAAAATTTGTGATTCCTCGTTGTCGTCAAGAAATTACGTCATCAACAATGTCAACTTATATTTGTTTATACTCAGCATTTTTGTGGAACACAACAATGCCGAGTAAACAAATAATGCTTCACAACGAAAATTATCAAGCCAGTCGCATGATCTCTGCTCTAGAAGCAGCACGTCGCATTCTTGAATATTGACTGACAGTTGGCTTAAAACATCATAAAAGTGAAAGAAGACGTTATCAACTATTTGAAGTACCAACTCCAACAACTCCTACAAGGTAAACTGATACTCATTCGATATATTACGACCACGAAAGTATTATGAAAACTGACTTTTGATCGATTTTAAGACGAAGATTTGCAGGGGTGGGGCTGGACATAGAAAGTTGACTGAACCAGAACTGTTAACTCAGGGGTTAAAACACTTGAATGAGACACTAAACAAACCCTTCCGAAGGGGGTTAGTTTAGTGTCTTACTCAAGATTTTAAAACGCAACCAACCACCCCAAAGTTGGTCAAGTGTTTAAACCCCCCATTCAGGGGGTTAGTTTAGTTTCTTACTCAGGGGTTAAAACACTTGAATGAGACACTAAACAAACCCTTCCGAAGGGGGTTAGTTTAGTGTCTTACTCAAGATTTTAAAACGCAACCAACCACCCCAAAGTTGGTCAAGTGTTTAAACCCCCCATTCAGGGGGTTAGTTTAGTTTCTTACTCAGGGGTTAAAACACTTGAATGAGACACTAAACAAACCCTTCCGAAGGGGGTTAGTTTAGTGTCTTACTCAAGATTTTAAAACGCAACCAACCACCCCAAAGTTGGTCAAGTGTTTAAACCCCCCATTCAGGGGGTTAGTTTAGTTTCTTACTCAGGGGTTAAAACACTTGAATGAGACACTAAACAAACCCTTCCGAAGGGGGTTAGTTTAGTGTCTTACTCAAGATTTTAAAACGCAACCAACCACCCCAAAGTTGGTCAAGTGTTTAAACCCCCCATTCAGGGGGTTAGTTTAGTTTCTTACTCAGGGGTTAAAACACTTGAATGAGACACTAAACAAACCCTTCCGAAGGGGGTTAGTTTAGTGTCTTACTCAAGATTTTAAAACGCAACCAACCACCCCAAAGTTGGTCAAGTGTTTAAACCCCCCATTCAGGGGGTTAGTTTAGTTTCTTACTCAGGGGTTAAAACACTTGAATGAGACACTAAACAAACCCTTCCGAAGGGGGTTAGTTTAGTGTCTTACTCAAGATTTTAAAACGCAACCAACCACCCCAAAGTTGGTCAAGTGTTTAAACCCCCCATTCAGGGGGTTAGTTTAGTTTCTTACTCAGGGGTTAAAACACTTGAATGAGACACTAAACAAACCCTTCCGAAGGGGGTTAGTTTAGTGTCTTACTCAAGATTTTAAAACGCAACCAACCACCCCAAAGTTGGTCAAGTGTTTAAACCCCCCATTCAGGGGGTTAGTTTAGTTTCTTACTCAGGGGTTAAAACACTTGAATGAGACACTAAACAAACCCTTCCGAAGGGGGTTAGTTTAGTGTCTTACTCAAGATTTTAAAACGCAACCAACCACCCCAAAGTTGGTCAAGTGTTTAAACCCCCCATTCAGGGGGTTAGTTTAGTTTCTTACTCAGGGGTTAAAACACTTGAATGAGACACTAAACAAACCCTTCCGAAGGGGGTTAGTTTAGTGTCTTACTCAAGATTTTAAAACGCAACCAACCACCCCAAAGTTGGTCAAGTGTTTAAACCCCCCATTCAGGGGGTTAGTTTAGTTTCTTACTCAGGGGTTAAAACACTTGAATGAGACACTAAACAAACCCTTCCGAAGGGGGTTAGTTTAGTGTCTTACTCAAGATTTTAAAACGCAACCAACCACCCCAAAGTTGGTCAAGTGTTTAAACCCCCCATTCAGGGGGTTAGTTTAGTTTCTTACTCAGGGGTTAAAACACTTGAATGAGACACTAAACTAACCCCCCGAAGGGGAGTTAGTTTAGCATGTTACTTAAGATTTCAAAACGCAACCAACCCCCCCCAAAAGGGGGGGTTGGTCAATTGTTTTAACCCTCAATTCGGGGCGGTTAGATTAGTTTCTTACACAAAGTTGGTGGCGTTTTACAAACTTGACCAACCCCCCCGAGGAGCTCCGAAAGGAGCGCCCTGCTCTAGTACCATAAAATTACTGTACCACTAATTATTGATAGCACCTAACCAAAATGAATCCACAACCCTAGTGCCTATTATCAACTTCAAAAATTAAGTCAACTGTTGATCTATTGTCTCTGAAACCACACTGTTCTCTCATTTTGTTTTCTGCCTGTCTATTCATTTTCAGATTTATAAATTTCTTTTATAATTTTAGACAATGACTAAGCAATATAATAACCAAATTAACAAATTCAGCATGTGAATGCTCAGGATGGGCTGTGTATAGCAATTACCAAATTGTTGTTACAACAAATTCTTTATAAATCGAGGAGATGTGACTCAAATGCAGTAAAACTTGCACAGATTAATAGAATGAAATCAAATGCATCTACTTATATAGTAATCAATTCAACAAATTTTATTTTAACACAGAGAACACAAGAGAGAAAACATAGACATGTCAATTAATACGACACTGAATGGATTACAAACCTCTCAGGAACCACACTGCGTAACTTACAGAATATTTAAATAAACTTACCATTTCCCAACACAGCTTTCACTTTGGCTGGATACCGCCTGCAGTCACTCCACTTTGCCATCACTCGATCACCAACACTGAATACCTTGGATGCATTCTTACCCTCATTTCTAAAACAGTTGATTGTATTTAATTACACTTATGAAACAGCATTTAGGTGTTAAATAATACTGTATTTTGCAACATAATTTCCAATCAATTCAACATCACATCATAAACCTGTTTCTCATTGGACAAGGTTCAGCATGGTTAATGACATTTTCTGATAATAATTTTTAAAAAATAAATTGAAGGGTGAGTTCTCTAAGATAAAGTAACTACATTTTCAAAATCAAACTTACATCTCCCTAAATTAAGATCCAATATTTTTGGTAGGTCTGACAGTTACTACTAAATCTGAAATTTGCCTATAAGGAAATATACAATTTCTACTCCAGAATACACATGTCTACCACACATTATCAAGAATATGCCCAGTTGGCCCATTTTGCTGATGGTAATCCATGAATGTGTCAATTTTCAAGACAAATTTCACTGAAAGACACACATTTGTTCTTAACATTTTAGCCTTCATCCCTCTCTATGGAAATGCATGCTCAGGGTACCATCATAACCATGTCAGTGTGTGTCTCCTTTAATAACTTTCAGATGCATTTTCATGAAATTTGGTATCAATTCCAAGCTATTAGAGGTTACTGTACATTCACATTCTTAATTTATACAGTCAATAACATGAAAATATTATTATGCACTACTGAAAGTTTTATTTCACTTTAAAACACAACTAAATCACATATGCATGTTTATCAAATAGAAATTCTGCCATGAAATAAAACCTCTATTAATTCCACAACAGGATACAGTTACTAAACATTATGCATTCCTATTTAATTTTGGAGACAGATATCCAGATACTAAAACATAGTTTTACACAGCAATTTTAATCATAAAGAACTCCAACTTATAGACTAACTGATCTAACCAAATTACCTACATGAAGCATTTAACAGTTACTCATCTGGTCAAGAAACTCCCTTCTTTTATTGAACCAAAAGTTAATTTTAAATGTTCAGAGAAACCAACCACAGACCCCAGTATAAGCCAGCTGACAGGTTTACTAAAATGTTCTGAACTTTATATGTAACATCTGTAGAAGAGCACAATCAAACCTGTGTTTTTCTATCAACAGAATCAATGCAACCTCAAAATAAATTCATGCATATAAATGCTGGTGGTAGCATAGCTACTGGTAGGGCCTCCCTAGCCAGATTGGTCGAGGGGGAGAGTCAGACTAAGACAGGTACCCTGATCCTCCAGGTTGGGGGTTGGTCGCAAGGCTAACAACCTTGCACTGTAAAAAGGAAGATGTTTCGAAATCTCAATCAAAGCCTCGGACAGACGGACCTAACAGAGGAGCGAATGGAAGAGGAGAACTGAGGAGGCCATGGCCCGAATACAGACTGGAGAGCCATAGAAGAAGAAGAAGAAGATAAAAAGTGTAGCAAACCATAGTCTTAGAAACTTACTGTGGACATGGATTTTGTGTGGGTCGAAGTCGAGAGCTGTCCATTGGGATCCATTCGTCATAGCGCTGAGACCATTTTTCAAAATGTATCAATATTTCTTCATCATCCCAGTCCACTTCTACAACTTTAACAGGATACCTGGGAAGAATGACATTTTGGCTAACAGAAAACTCTAGGGTACAAAATAAAAAAATGCCATATCCAAACACAATCTTTCTGAAATATTCATATACAAATCTAGCTTATGTCATATTCAAGGCTTCATTTTTCAGTAAGAGCACACACTATGTGCATCACAATATAAGATGATACATTAAGAGCAGTATTGACAACAGTATCTGTGCTAGATGCATCAATCTTTGGTTTCACTATATGTGGGCATAGCTCATACAAATTTTGATATTAGGTACCAAAAATGAACTATTCTACTCTGTATCCTGCAGTTTAAGTCCCATCTCAGTCAATAATTCTAACCTACAATAAACTTAAGAAAAAATCCATTTCATAAAACCTTGCATTTAGAACCAAACCCATGAAAATAAATGTCCAACCCCTGAAATCCTCGATGCTTTACATCTCTAAAGCAGATGTTCAGTCTGCACACAATGTGGAAATAAATGGTCCATGAACTAACTATCTTTGTATCATGTATACAAGAAATACTTTTCAAGATATTACTCTAGAAGCTTAGAGTGACATATATGTTGATATTTATAAATCTACTGCAATAAGTAATACAGAAATTCTATTTGTTCAGACAGCTGGACTCACAAAACATATATTTAAGCCAAACATCATAAAGAACACATTTCCAAAATATTTCCAAGTATTCAGATTAAAATTACATACACTACTTCCTCATCTCATAACTCACCATATTTCGCTTCCTAGGTCTTTAGCTTCTAGTCTGGCACCAATCTGGAAGTTGAGTGAGGATTCTTGCTTTCTATTAGGCGCGTCATTAGTATTGCTGTTGGGACTATTTCCATTTGTAGCTGTCACATCACTAACACTCCCTTGCTCTGAATCATCCGACTTAGTAGGAGACACACAGGAGGGGCTTGCTGATTTCAAGTCACTCAAATTATTTGACTCTCTCTTGGCAGTTTTATCCTTGACCTTTCTTTCCATGGTATTCACAGAGCTTTTAGAAGCTGAAGGTTCAACTTTAGCCTTTCCAGAACGCTCCCTGTCTGACCCTTTGATCTCAAATTGTTCAACACGACTAGCATTTTTGCTTCTCTCACGAGATGTATGGACTTTGGATTTTTCTTTCAACACTTTGTCACCTGAAAGAGAATAAAGGTATTAAACACTATTCAATTCACATTATAGTTTGTCAGTAAAGTTGCAAAATACAGAGAAGTGTTGACAAATAAATGTATGTGCATACAACAGAAAAAAGGTTACCGCCCTGAAGCACTGTCCTCTTTCACACAGTCTACATATAATGAAGATTACTAGGTTCTCTCGTCTATCTCATGTTCTACTAAAACCCAAATCCTCAATTCTACACCTACTACTACTACAAAACAGCACAACAATAACAACACTAAAAAGAAACACAGAATGTGCACATATTCCATATGTTCTTTGTCTAAAAATAATTCATTCTTCATTAATACAAATCTTTAAACAGCAACAACCTCAAAGGATGTAAACAAATGAGTAACTTCACTGTTTATGAAGCTGAAATCTGACTGAATATTGAAAATTCATTTATTGAATTACATACATCAACCTCGCTATGAGAATGCATTCTTAGCTTTTGTTAGTTACTACTGCATACTGTATACAGTTCATAACTCACCAATCATATTGGACAATTAATGTTGAAAATAACAATATATTTTAAATTACACAGGACAGCATATTTCTCCAAAATTGTGCAGATTCAACATTCACAAGCTTGAAAATTATTTACACTAAACATCAAAAGAACACTGCAAAGTGTGATAAACCATACCATAATCTTTTGAAGAAGGTTCAGTTTTCTTTTCACATTTAGATGGTTCCTTGTTTCCTTTTGTCCATGCAAACAAAGATGGCACTACACCTTTCTTCAACATGCGTCTCTTTGAATACTGAGACTGTATGAAGTCTTCATCCCGAAAATGCTTAGAACAAACTTTAGTGTGCTTGTTAACTGTGAGCTTTTTGTAATCAGCTCTTCTTACACAAAGAATCCAGAGCTTCCGTTCCTTTGGGTCAACAGGAAAAGCATGAAAGGTAAGTGATCCATTCCCAGAATTACGGCTATTGGAGTTGCAACGTGGTACACAGCAGTGGTGACCCATGCTGAAAATAAAGAAAAGCAGACGAAGGTTGTTACAGTATTTTGTTCCATAGTAATCCTCAGTTGAAACAAATCAGTTACAAATTTATAAATAATCTAAGCTAAAACCAAACTCATTTAACAGATTACAACTTCATTCACTGGCAGGTCAAAACCATTTTCAGTACAGATCTACTACAAACTCAGTTATATATTAAAATAAATTGATATACTTTTCAGTAATAAACAACGTTAGTAACATCATTAATAACACTCATTGCCCTGATGATGGAACTAGTGAGCACCTCTAAAACATCAGTCAGTTTATACCAGACTACATGATGCAACATCCCAAAAGATAGTTATTTTCAACACAAGGTAGGCTAGAATCACGAGATTTAGAACCTGTATACAGAAACACTTTCAGTTTTAGGGCAATAACCTAAGAAACAAAGCATATGTCATATGATCAATCAACAATTACAACACAGTTTAACATTATGACACATTACTATGACAGTATCTTTCTCAAGCAGGAAGGGAAATCTGTTAAATCTTTTTCCAAACTGGGTAAACATTCATAAGAGGCAGGAACAATATTATATATGCATAACAGACTATTTTTTATAAGCAATAAGATTATCAATTGGGCTATGAAGGTCTTAATCGTGTTTCATGTTGACTGCAGGAACCTCAATGTTTGTCTAAAATACTTCAATGCTATGAATTATAAATGTTATCAGAACTAATAAATGCCCATTCCCTGGGTGCAGTACTCATCACTTCTTCAATAATTCCCTGCATGTTTCTCCTTTCTGGTCACCTGCCATACTTACAGCAGTATCAACCAAATGTCTTTCAGTGTTAGTTAACCTAATTCAGCTAGCTAGATTCGATACCACCTAACCTCAAAGTATTTTGATCAAAATCATATAGTTTTTGTCCTACTTGCATCTATATAACTTTCGGACGAGATGTGTTCACGCCTAATTGACCTTATGCAAATGCAGACTTAGTAAGCATTTAATATGTTGGTGCCTAGTGGTGTTACAGATACTTAATAACAACCTGGTTACGGTTTACGATAAACATAAAATGAGCTCCATTACGTTTATTGTGAAAGACAACAAGGACTCAGCTGCTCTATGTAACTATAAATGTGTCATTTTCATGTCACGTTAAATCTGACAAACCACGAACTACAGTGTAGGAAATATGTAATATGTACAACACATCACACAACTTCGCAATCACAAATTTCACTTCCACTGCACTCGTAACCAAAACTTAACACATCAGTTTAATCGTTTAAAACTTCCTTAGTGTACAAATATTAGTACTGACTGTCTTATAAGAATATAACATACTATTTTATTTTTAAAATAAATTAAAACAATTATTAAAAACAATGTATTCGAAGCCTCCTTAATACTTCGTAAACATAAAAATCGTTACGTTTGGTGTAACAGGTTGGCAAACACAAAAATGTAAGAATTGAGGTATGAAGACGATGAGAGGTTAGTTTACTTTACTTTAGTTCAGTTCAGTTAGTAATCTACACCAAAATGGTTTCTATTGTGAAATTTATTTGTTTGTGAGCCAATCAAAACAAACGTACTTATTCTGAATTAATATTTCCATGCCATCTAAGTACCACAAACCTCATATTGGCACCGTTGTCAATAATCCAACGAGTTATAAGAAAATAGATAATCTACCTGAGATATTTAATACCAAATCTATTGCTGCTTATGTTGCGCCCAGTATTTCAAGGTAATACCAACATGTCCTTATTTATGCCACCTATGCAATAAAATGGTGGAGTGTGTGTGGAAGTTTGGGGGGAAGCAGTAGCCCAATCGGTAAGAATAGTAGCTACTCTTCAACCTTCAAAATTTATTATGTACTCAAACACTGTCCACTGTAAAAATCTTGATAACACAGAGGTCTTCTGGGTTCCTCTGCTGTGTAGATGTATCTACCAACCACTCTACACCACTACCGCCACAAAACCTAAAATCTCACAGCAGTGCTTATTCCATCTTTAGGGTAAAAGTGAGTACATATGTAATTCTTGAGGCTTACACTTATTGCATCTTATCCAGTAAACAGGATATGAAAATGTCAGATGGGCAAATATTGTTAACATGAATGCTCTACCCTTGTAGAAGTAAATGATGGTTGTAGGATTTAAATGATGGTTCTTGGCAGGATACAGACTTTACTATCATAAGCAATGTATCTTACAACAATCATGATGGTGAGGCATACTGGTGCTGCAAGGACTTAATTATGCCCATCTTCATCCAGCACATTCTTCAGTAAGTTAACTTAAATTACAATATGATATAGTACCACCATAGAACAAAATTAGGATGGATAAACCTCTCTAGGACTATGAAGGACATTTGTTTTATAAAACAGACTGTTATGCAAAAAGTTTCATAAACAAAATACTGAACACATGACCTACTTCATTATTATTTTAAAGAGGGTATGGTGTGCTCTAAGTCAGTATTGTAGGTATCAAATAACCCAAAAGAAAATTAAAAACGTTATAAAGCTTTATTAGAATAGAAATAGGATCCACAAAACATAATTACACACAAAGTACACTAAGACAAAATATGCTTTTATTGGTACCATCACTTGCTTGTACAATACTTTTCAGTAAATTGTCAAACACTGGCTCTGTACAACATGTTCTGTGTAACTTTCAAAGACATGTCAACAAATAATATAAAGTATTTATATATTTATTACTTACTGCTATTGATCCACTAAGAAAGTGTCTGCATAGCATACAATTATACATAAAGATGTTGTGCGGTAACCAAGTTGTCTGTCTCAGTCCGACTGCAGTAAACATAAATTAATTATCCCCCCTCCCCAGTTTCTACCCTATCAATTTTCATAAAAAGAACATTTCATTTTTATCCTTTGGTTGTATAGTCATTCTTACAATCATAATAAGACCGACATTTAAAAAAATCCCAGCTGATCTATGCAATGTTTTCATACAGCATTACAGTCAGGCACACCTGCTCTATTATAAACATGATATAAACATAAATCTGACAATAAGCATGCAGTATTTGACTACCACACTAAAGTTGATAATTTATTAAATACCTGCTCAGAATTTAAATTAAAAATTTCTTCAGAATACTTACTAAGAATCTTAAATACAAACATAGTTTAGAACATAAATTGTGTCTGTTACTGGATTAGATTTTCAGTCATTAAAAGCAAACAACAAGTATTTGTAACATGACAAATGTCTGATAACAGTGAACATATAATGGTATCTAAAAAGCTTTTAAAAAGATTAAAGAAACCTTACAGTCCATACAGGAAAACTTCAACATTGGGATTCCCAAATTTCTGGAGTGATCCATTGTGCTTGTTACCATGTGGTACCATAACCTAAAAGCAAACAATAAAGAGATCATAAGATCATTGTCTTACTTGGTACTGCAGACTTTTCAGCAAGGATATTTTCTAATTGATTAAAGCCAACTGCTTCTACCCCTAATTATAATAACCTATCTCCTTAAGTTCTCCTCCTCGGTCTTCCAAATGGACATTTTTCACGAAAATTACAATTACAAACGTAGCAATGGTGTGACAAAAGTGGTTGTGGCGATGGCAAATAGTATGATTTAGTACATGTTTTTAGACTGGCTCTGAGGTTCAAACTACTGTTTCCTCTTGAGTTCGTCTGTTTATTCATGCTTATGATTATGTAAAAGGCACATTCTCACACTTCTCACTACTCCTCTGTTTTCACTCAGTTTACCAAAGGCTGCTGAAACTGAATGAAGTAAACTGAAGAAAATAATTTCTAGCAATTATTACATACCCTGTTGACAGAATGAATAATGCCATTGGTGGCTGGAATATCACAATCTTGAACCATAGCACTGCCAATATGGACTCGCCCCTCATGATCTCTTCGAACAGCTACGGACCTTCCACCGAGCGTCTCGACGCGATTGGTAAACGGCCAGGAGGTGGCACTCACACCCGTACAGCAAAGGGCCTCTGTAACCGTAATATTCAGATCCATGAATGCAGACAGTTTGACATTACTCGCATAAAATTGGAGTCCCTTGCTTGTAGTTACACACTTTTATGAACAAAAATTGCAGTATCAAAGAAATCCAACAGTAATTACATGCTTATGTGCATCTGTAAATGTTTATTATATCTTACCTGGAAGAAGGTGCTGACGCAGAACTCTTGCGGCCAGGTGTTTGTCTTCAGTAATAGTCTTAAGATCCTCTTCTTCAAGCTTATAGAAAGCAGAGTCTGTTGGGGCAAGGAATGTGAATGGACCATCTCCACTCAAATCGTCCTCCAGCCCAGTTCCCTGCAACAAACAGCTGAATAATTACGAAAAATAAACATGTAACTTAGATTTACTGTATCTTGAAGCTGAGACGGTACTTTAAATTGCCTTCATGACCTTCACTGTAGTAAATTAAACACAGGAGGGTACATTAAAGTATCTAATTAACCAACTCCACTGAATTTAGTTCTTGAGAAGCTAATAGTCAGTCAGCCAGTCAACAAATTCCCTGCTTCTTATGGAACCAAAAGGTTTATTATCATGTTCACATTAAGCCTGCAACTGGTCCCTAATCAGAGTCAAATAAATCCAGTCTGCACCCCCATAACAAAGTTTCATTTTAATATTATCCTCACATATACCCCTAGGTCTTCCAAGTGATCTTTTCTTCCCTTCAGGTTTTCTGATACATTTAATTGCACTACAATCAACAGCATTAGGTCTGGCAAAGAGTTTCAGTGTTAATAAAGAAAAATAATCCAGTCAGTTGAATGAAAGCCAGCACTGACCTCACTGCAAATATTTGGAAATTGAAATAATTAATCCCTGTACTCATGCTATTCTGCCTTTCAAATTCAGCTTTAAATAACTGCACATTACAACTGTACATGCAAACATTCTAAGGCACAATACAGTTATATGAAAGAGTCTAAAAATATGAATCTCCTGAATTTTGCCATATTTTTAATAATGCTACTGGACATTACCATTACCTTAATAATTTTCCTGAGCAGAGTATAGTTGTCTCCCTTCTCAATAAGTTCCAGGATTGAACCAGTAGGTGGCATTAGTAACTTGTCTACCTCATGGACAACTCCTCCACATGCCCGATTGTCGAAGTTTATTACCCGTGCACATTGGGCAGTTGCTCTTGTAACTGCACCAGTAAAGAATGGTAACTGCAACATAAGCAAAAAGTGAAAATTAACAACAACAAAAACAGCTGTACATTGTGAAAAGTAAGATGTGATACGTGTGTTTGAATAAAATAAACATTTGTTATATTTGCCTGAAACTAAATTACAAATAAACACAAATCACAACATAACCTACATGTCCAAATCCAAGACACAATACAATAGACTCAAATACATTACATTTGAACAGGGACACAAGATTGAATGCATAACGACAACATATCATGGATAGGTGTTTCAATATGAATGTTGTGATAAGCGTATACCAACATTTTTTAAAATACCGTCATTATAAATGCCACAAAGCCTACTTAAATTTCATTGCCCATTCTTTTAACAACTCTAATAATAACAATAGTGATGATACTGAATGATGATAGCAACAGTAACAAATACTTGATATAGCCTAGCTTAAGACGTCCTCTTCCCCACTTAATGGTACCTGCACCTTGTCGTGGTGGTGGGGCTTGAATACCTCAGTGACCCCAAGAGCTATTCTGGCGGTAGCATAGCTACTGGTAGGACCTCCCTAGCCAGATTGGTCGAGGGGGAGAGGTCAGACTAAGACAGGTACCCTGGTCCTCCAGGTTGGGGGTTGGTCGCAAGGCTAACAACCTTGCACCGTAAAAAGGAAGATGTTTTGAAACCTCAATCAAAGCCTCGGACAGACGGACCTAAGAGAGGACCGAATGGAAGAGGAGAATTGAGGAGGCCATGGACCGAATACGGACCGGAGAGCCATAGAAGAAGAAGATCTAAAATGTAAACATTCCTCAATCTTACCGTAGCATAAAGATTGATACGAATAGACTGGTCTGCAAGGCCACTTTTGAGTTCCTTATCGTTTGAAAAGTCACACAACTGCACCTCAGGCCCTGTTGTGTGGTACAGCAGTAAGTCACGAAGTCTGTCCTTGTCTGTTCTAAGCTTCTCCAGCTCAGAAACTGATTCAGGTCTTGCAAGGGCTTCATCGGTTGGGGCAAACAATGTAACATTCTTCATTGAATCAAGTGATTCGGCCAATCCTGCCTCACGCAGAAGTGACAAGAATGTAGTGAGGTTGTGACTAGCCAACACTCCAGTGACTGGACGAGCTGAAATTATTTATTTTAATTAATATTCAGTTTTTCCTTGTTATCTTTGCTTCCATACAGAATAGTTATTCAATAATACACTCTGTAGAGTATCATCAAATTTTTCTACTAGCTTATGCATCTTAGCCCTTGTCCAATATTGCCTGTTTGATAGAACATGGACAGGTATAAATTATATTTTATTCTGTTCAGAATTGTTCAGGCAGGCTTTTGCCACCACGCTCGTATCTAACAGGAAGCTACAACAGCACTATGGTCACATAAAATCACATTAATTAACTTACTTTCATTACAAAGAAGCTTAATAATTCTAAGATGTTCTTAAAGCTGTAAACAAATTTCAAAATATAACATTCCTCTGCTCACCAGAGTCTGGCATAATGATGTCATCAATGACATGGATAATTCCATTAGTACCAACTACGTCTTTGGCAACAATCTGTACGCCAGAGACAAAGAGTTTGCCATCATCTGGTCTTCTTTCAAGACTCAAAGTATCACCATCCATATTGACCGTCATCAGACGAGTCTGGATCGCAGCAGAGCACACAGAATGTTGTATCAGGTGGTGTCGAAGAACATCTAAAAATCAGAGATGGCCAGACTCAACAAACTTTCACGAGAAAAATATTTTTTGGCATAAGGGTGACAGCTTTCCAGTAAAATCATCACATTTCAACACGCTGTACGTATCTTCAAGCTTGAAGGTACTCAGGTATCAGAGTTGTGAGTTAGTAAGTGTGGTCAAAGAAAATACCATTTTCTGTATCTGTGTAATCCTTTAACTAAATAAACATAAAATTTGTAATAGTTTTTTGATCAAACATGGAGTTAATGTGTTTCTATTTACACAATGTGTAAAAAAAAATTGGTGTTTCACACAGCAAAGAGAAAGAAATGGGATTGTTTGTACATTTCTGACTGGACACAGAGTAGAGTAGCTCTTATGTCTCAACTTCAGCACTGTATTTATTAAAGATAAAATAACGTACCTACATTGCTAACTTGGACTGTAACTTCTAGTTCTGATTGTCATTACTTTAGTAATCTGCATTTAAAGTCTAGCGGAATAGTAGCAGGATGATTTTAAAATGTACTGAAAAGAAATGGGCAAATATCGCAGTTCATCATACCTTATTCAAATAATATGGCTTTGCAAAAAATAAATAAATAAAAACAAATAAACAATAAAAATGAATAAAAATAAATAATAAATAAATAATACATTTTTTAAAAAACTGTACAGTTAAACTGTTCATCTAGGACAAAATATCAACGAAATTACTCATCAGAAAATGTTTTTATGATAAGACTGAAAATAATTATATATTTTGAACTCTCACTGTTTCAAAACGTCTTTCACGTCTTAAACATATTAATAACATGTACGTATAAATCTGGTTGTTCCTGTAATTAACCAAACTACATGTCTAAGCAAAGGACTTACTTCCAACACATGCCTCTCCATCCAGTAGTCTGGAACGCACTGTCGGATCCAGCTTCTCAAATGCAGAATCAGTTGGAGCAAAGATGGTCACATGACCAGGTTCCTTCAGTGTCTGAAGCAGGCCACTCTTTGAAAGTACTGCAAAATGAAACTGTTCGTCAACAACAATATTCTTGATAAATAAAATGATTAACTTAATTTAATTTCATAATATATTTTATTGAAGTGCATTCTTGACTATAACTACTCTTGAAGGAGTTAAAGCATACTTACAGGAGATGAAAACGGAGAACTGGCTGTCTTGTGCGAGGAGCTGAGCAAGAGTTTTAGTAACGGGGCGGATCATTCGGTCCACAACATGTACAATGCCATTGGTTGCATAGTTATTTACAGATGTGAGTCTCGCACAGTTTGCCGTCATCAGTCTTTCACCAGGAGCATGGTAAAAGTTCACTCTTACAGAGCTGTTTGCATTGTCGCTGTACAAAACCTGAAATGAAAACGCTTATTCCCTGAAATTCAACGTCTTTCGATTTACAAACCTCAAAGTTCCTAGATTAATATAAAAAGAAGTAGATATATGAAGGATAAAATCATTCCACCCCTTCAAAATAGTCTCCTCCTGAATCTACAAACTCCTACTAGCAGTTCTGCCATAATGAATTTTTTTTTGAACACTTCTGAAATCCTTCAAGGTGTCCCTGTGACATGCTCAAATGCTGCATCACTGATTAGACTCTCCTTAACTATTTTAGAGAAATTCTTTCATTTTCTTAACATTTTCATAGCATACTGAACATTTGATCATTCTCACCATTCACTAACAATCATATATTCTCCCACTTTCTTTGAACATCTTCATTTAGTTCAGTTAATTCCTTTTGTAAGATTTGAGGTTTTCACAGCGGTGAGTATAACGATTTCTGTGTTCTGGGTTGTTGCGCTGTGTAGTCTGGTCGATGTTTACCAACGTTTCAGAGGTCATACTGCCTCCGTCATCAGGGCGATTCATCTGACTACATAGCGCAACAACCCAGAAGACAGAAATCTTCAACTGTTGTTTTACCCACTCTTTTGTCCAAAGACCAACAGACCACAATCCACATAATTCCACTATAATTCATAAATAACCATACCTGTTCATTTACAAGCTCGCTCATGTCATAGAGACCTGGAACCATGTGGCCCAGAACAATGTCCCGCATACTGGTACCCTCCATACCAGTTTCACGTCGTCTGCGAGCAAATGCGGGCGGAACGTAGAACTCCACCTGATTCTGAAACAATGTACGAATGTGATACTCTCACAAAAGATCCAAATCACATAAGTAAAGTTAAACAGCCAGTGAAAGCAGTACTAAATGAATGGTTATGGGTAATCTGCTATTATCTGTATAAATATTCATCTTATCAAATTCATATTACAACAACATTTATGTCCTGAAGAAGGTGATTTTCTACTGGGATACTGGGAACGACCCGTTCTTCAAGTTCCTGAGCACTGCGGGTCCCAACATTACGTTGGCTCGATTTATGGACATTCGGTAGGACTCCTTGGACAAGGGATAAATAGGAACCTGCAAGAAAATCACGCTGATGCAAGGTAATTCTGTATATACAATATACTTACTGCCTCCTGCAAACTATCAGTGAAATCACGAACAGCATCATCAGATGGAACAAAGAGTGTCAAATTGCTGGCAGCTGTCTTCTCTTCCAGACCAGAAGTGTGTACAAGCTGCACAAAATCCTTTGCTCCAACATCAGCTGCAGTTTCCAGTAGACTCTTCAAGTGTACTGTAAGAAAATTGACAGTCTCTTACCGCCATGTATATGAATTTAATATACAGGTAGCCGCCCTCGATTTGCGCCGATTCAGATTAACGCCGATTTTGAAACAAGCAACTCAAAAAGTGAAAAAATATATTTTACTATTATTTATAACGTTTTACAATGTATCTCGTAATGATTCTTTTACTAAATCGTAATTCTTACATTGCTGATTCTGAATAAAAATTATAAATACAGTCATCTCTGCAATTACGTATGTTTCGTCAACGCGAATTTGCTCCAATGAGATCGATGGATCGGTAAAAGCTGTTTGTGAAATTCAAACTTTTGCAAATGCAAGTTTGCTCTTATGTAATTTCAGTCCTGGCGCTTTAAACTTTCAAAGCACTAATTTAATCTCTGCGGGGGTACCGGGGTTATTTTTACTACGCGATTTTCTATAGGTCGGCGTCTTACATGAATGCAACTATCGCATAACAGCAGAGATGACTGTAAACATCAATCACATGAAAGAATCACAGTCAATCGCGGGGACCAACGAATTGCCGATTGTAAGTGTATAAAATATATTTTTTAAATTCCCTTTATTTTATTTACGTTATGTGTGTGTGTGTGTGTGTGTGTGTGTGTGTGTGTGTGTGTGTATATATATATATATATATCAAGGTTCTCTTTAAACTGTTCTTTTAATCCACTGCAGTCAATAAGACGCTACAAATTTAACAATTTCTAATTTCTATTACCCTCTGAGCAGCCTGGTTTCTCTTCAACTCGTCTAAAGCCATGACAGCATTGGTATTTCACAACGAAAGTCTTGCGAATTCCATGGTTGCGAATCCTGCACAGTAAAAAATAAAAGTTACTACACAATGCATAAAAATTTACTCTCCTGTTAGTTTCTTAAAGGTTACTGGTTTCTGGTTTTGTTTTCAGCAGTCTGAAATTCGAACTTCATCCATCCAAATATCGCATTTCTGCATGAAAGATTTTTCTCAGTAGAAAGAAGTATCAAATTATACTATGACTTTTATATGATATGAAATAACTTTTCCTATATCCAATATTAACCTCCATAATTTGAAAAAAAATTAACAGCACTCTATGTACTTACTTAGTCGTACATGTATATTTTACATCTGTTTGCTGGCAGCTGGAGAATTGGAAAGAGCCGAACAGACCGCCTTCTTCATCGTCGCCGTTTGTACCAGAAGTTTCATCTGTGTGGTTGAGATGCTGGCTTTCATCTATCTCCTCACGTTCCACACACACATTAGGCCTGAACAAGTACAATATCAACACTGATCACTAAAGCCACAGTCCGAGTTACCACTGCACAAAATTCCGTCTTGACATTTATAAAAAAGAAAATACATTTGTCCTTATAAGAAGTAATGAATTCTTGGGGGTGGGGGGACAAGCTGATTTTCAGACCTCTTTAGTCACGTAGCAAATTCGGTATGTTCTGAAGAACTTGTTCCTAAAATGATATGAAATGTTGTATGTGAGTTTATGACTTCTTAGTAATTAGCTTTTGAATGAATAGTATGTTACTCATATACACTGATGATGATGGCAGGATTAAACCAGGAGATGGTCGGACAACCAGAATGTGAAGCAAGTGACAAATCGGTTGCATCAATTAATGGAATTGTGAATATACAATTCTTCTATGTGTCAAAACATATCAATCAACTTGGAAATAAAAATGCAATGTACTTTTCCTGTGGGACATTACTTAATTCTGAGTCATCCTAGTTTGCAAATGAGTGAAAATAACATCTGCTAATAACTAACTAACTAACTAACTAGATGGCTTACCGAACCCGAAGGTTCATCCTACATGTCCCGCCCATCTCATTCTTCTCGACTTAATCACCCTGACAATACTGGGGGAGGAGTACAGATTTTTAAGCTCGTCATTGTGCAGTTTTCTCCACGCCCCATCGTCTTCCCTCTTAGGCCCAAATATCCTCCTCAACACCCGATTCTCAAACACCTGCAATCTGTGTTCCTCCCTCTGAGTGAGAGACCATGTTTCGCACCCATACAAAACAACAGGCAAGATTATTGTTTTGTATGCTTTAATTTTCAGGTTCTTAGAAATCAGACGGGAAGACAAAATATTTTGAACTGAGAAGTAGCAGACATTTCCGGAATTTAGTCTCCTCCTAACTTCCTCATGAGTGTCATTTTGATTTGTTTTGTTCCCAAATATGTGAACGTTGTAACACTTTCAAAGGATTTATTAACAACATCTCCTAATGAAACTATAAATTAATTAAAATACAGAACATTTTTCTCTACTGAGTAATAGATCTGTGGTTCAACTTGTGATCAGCTGTCATCTATCCTGCCAAAAATGTTCATTATTTTCTTCAGTCCTTCCAGGAAAACACTGGGATATCTTCATACAATTTTTCAAGGAGAAACGTTTTTCGAAATCGCCCAATTGGAAGACCAGAAAGGAAATGGAAAAGATAGAGTCAAAAAAAGATTTGTTTTAAGGATTGCAGGTGGATGGAACTGGCTCATCACTGTGTTCGATGGTGGTATGGCAGTGTTAGTAAGCCAACATCATGGTACTGGCAATGACCCGCCCTATTCACCACTCAGTTATCTTATCGACCTTGTAAAAACTCTACGACTGACTTGAGGTCGATAAAAATCCTACAAATTAAAAGCAACAGGAACACAATTCGAGCAGAAAGGTCGTAACAAGATAAATGATGCGCCGCTGATTTATATTTTCTGAGTGCTACAGTTTAAAAAATATCTAATACTGTGACATTTGCAATTAAAATTTATTGCGCCCACTACACGAGTCTCTTAATTTATGTCAGTGGCAACTGCTGATATCAAGGGCGCTAAAAAAAACATTTAGCGTGCCACTTCCTCATTAAAACGCCAAACACTGCGAGACGAGTCAGGACAGTTCAAAGTAACGCCATTTG